GAGCACATTATCGCGACCCGGATTCGATAACTCTTTGAGAAGATTATGAGCGCGATTATTCTTGTCGTCGCTCAAAAGTTTATCCCGCTTACACGCTGCGAAGTGTCATCCGAAAATAATAACGCCGAGATCCGTATCTCGTCAGAGATACAGGCCGGATAATTGTACGACTTCATTTTCGGAACAACGTGACACGCGGTACACCGTATGTGCAATGCTCCGGATCGTGTTCTGCGACTGGTGTAACGTGTACTTGGGAACGATCACGGCGAGCAGTACATTCATGTTGCAGCGAGTTCTCGCGTTTGAATTTAATGAGTACTCCATTTGATATCGACTCGTTTCTCGTGTACCCTCGTATCACGACCGGAATTCGTATAGCGCGTATACTGTTTTCAAGTCGGGGAAAATTTATTTTCGTCAATGGAGCAGTAAGCGGCAGCACGCGCTTGTCTGTCTACTTGTTTATAATTTGATTCGAGTCTCTTATATAACTGCGTTCGCATTCCGAATAACAAAGCAATCGGTTAACAACTCGACTGGATTATTGACTGTTGACGGGGATGCATAAATTTGATAGGAACGAACGAAATATTTATATGTGCAAAGGTGCCACCAACTAACCACGCCTTGTCTGAAAGGATTGCATTGTACATTCTTTTATACATTTTATTTTTATGCACCTGAGAGTTTCACTATCGATAGGTTCTCTTAATGTTAATTCCATCAACATCGTTTAACGCTATTCATATTTAACTAAATTATCTGTCTATTTATATTATAGCTAACTTTACGTTCTAGAAAGAAAAAGAGAATTATTTAATTTACGATTAGAGATAATCAATATTGATAAAATTGAACCTTAAAATTTTTATAAAAATGTTGGTTAAACTTAATTGATCTTTCATTTTTTTTCTATTATATATGAAGACTAGAAAGAAAATTACTTAAATTAATTAAACTCTGCGTCAATTTTAATCAATTTAATTTTATTTATATGGACACACATGATTCCATATAGAGAGTAAAGTTTCCAAGCTTGTTTAATCTGTTGGATAAATACTGTATATGATGAAAGAGTAAAATAGCTTTCGCTTATGCTATCAGCGCTTTATACCATGTAATCAACAATCTAACGTATGATTAATCTAATGTATGACTTCCGTATTTGCTTTCGCACGTGCTGACGTAATCCGACAAAACAAGGCCGCTGTAAGGTAAACAAATGGGAGAGAATAAATCGCGTGATCGATATATAGCCGGCGGTATAAAGTGGTGTCTTGGGGATTTACATATAATCAGGCGACTGAGAGAAGTCGCCGACTCTCGAGAGGAGAATATACGCGACTCAAAGGTCGTCTTGTTACGAGGTGATTCCTCGAGTGGCGAGTGGTCTTTGCCATTTCCCATGAGCGCAGCTATAAAGGCGGCGGAGGTCGAGCGACCGACCGACCGACCGACCAACCAACCAACACGATGGATCACAGCGATAAGGGTATATGCAGCTTGTTCTGCAGCGTGTACAGTACCGGAAGTGATCGCGCCGCTCGCCGTTTCGAGGAACGAGTGGAGAAGTCGTCGTTCTCTCCAGCGGCAGCCTCCGTCTCTTGTCTCCGCGGTGTTTCTATTTTACCCGCGGTGATATTTTCGCGATATATTTTTGCGTGGGCGCGAATCGACCGAATGCCAGTCTCGGCACTACCTTTTACTTCGAGACGCCAAACGAATGCTGTCTACGTGGGCAGCGCGGAATAGTATTATAATAAAGCCTCTCGTGGAATGATAGAAAGGTGCAGGCTGCTAATAATAGCCTTTCGCAGGGTCGCCGCAGGTCGGCAGGTGTGCTCGGCTTCGCGTACCTCTACTGTTCTCCGGATCGGGATCGGTGTCGTCGATTTTGCGTCATCGTTGCCGGTTTCGTGACGTGGTGCATCGCGGAATTGTACGAGCTGAGTTTTAGCTCTCGCGCGATAAAAATGAGATGTTAAATGCGATACAAAGAGGAATGATCTAGTTATTTGATTTTATTTAGAGCACTTTGTACTGCGATAATAAAAGCGGCTTTATACAAGAAAATGACGTTGCAAATATTGAGATCTCCGATGGAGAGAAAGCCGCGGGACGATGCAGGCCGATGCAGAGATCGAAACAGTCGTCATTGCGAGAGATCGGTTCTTTTAAATTCTACCCATAGGCATATACAGACGGGTTATAAAGCATCCTAATGAAAAATAAGAATAAACCGTTAATGGCCATTTACACAGAGCCGCTAGTTGGGTGGTAAATGTCCATCGATCATAAATTGTCCGTCTCGATCTCGCGGCGGTTGCGGGCCTTATATCACGCGCGTAGCATTGAAACAAAACGACAAGTGGAGCGGTTTGACGCATGCAGAACGCTTTCCGGAAAATTTATGACGCGTATCTAATTGTCGATGTTCTCGTGTATGTCTGAAATTGCGCGAGTACACTTCGTCGATTTAATCTCGAGCGTTAAAACAAGTTAGAGAGATTAAGCTGCGCCTAAGAACGGACATCATTTGATCGTTCAAATAAATTGATGTCGTATAAGCATAAAAGAAATATATACTTTCTGAGAAAAAGATGTAAAGAAAGGATATAAAATCTCGCGAATTTGTTGCGCGAAAGTCGCGAAGAATTCCCATCCTGACGTATTCGTGGGTCGAGCTCTCGAATTCGGAGCACACGTTGATAATGCGTGCCAGATAACGTAGATACACGCGCGGAGAACACGTTCGGGGGACACGTTCGAGATGAGATTCTCACGACGAGGAGCGCGAGGCAGCCAGCATCCACGCCCCAGAGACGTGTATCGGGTTCCACGATCCCGCTGGCCTCGCTCCGACGTCCGTCTTTCCGTCCGTCGTCGACAGAGCTCCTTGAAAATTGTGCAACTGTAGTACATGGCTCGTTTTCTTCGCCATCTCCCGGTACAATGACGTAGATTGTAGATCATGTTCTTTTTCCGTGCCGCGCTCGCGGGGATAAAATCTCGCGCGCGAATGAAACTGAAACTGAAACTGACTGTTTCCACATGAGCGTTAGATATCTTTAATGATGTTTATTCAAAACTGCGCGGCGCAGATTTAATTGATAACTGATGTGTGGGCGTTCAAAGAGGAATGTAAGTAGACGATGATGTATGAGGTCCAAATAGCTAATGTCACAATTGTGCTAATAGCACCTCACCATGCGATTAATAAAAGAGGTAACGAGATCGTGCAACGAGCATTAGAAACGAATATATCTTGCGAATGAACAAGGATATTTTATATTCCATTAAACTAAACTGCAGACGGATGAATGTCGAGCGTGAGAATAATTTCGCCAGGTTTACATGGTCGAGATAAGTAATCGAAGTCTAAGTAGGCACCTTCAGCTTATTTTCAATGAGCATTGAACGTGAGAATAATGTTTAAGTGGAAAGTGGAGGCACATTTTCGAGACCGTGCGCCTTTTGCATATGACCCGACTTGATGAAACGCGTGTATCAAGCGTCAAGATAGACGTCAGCGTAGAAACGGACAACGAGATATCTTGGCCTGTCAGTGAGAAGCCGAAAGAATAAGAGTGAAGGAGGACTAGGAGAGAAGGCGGACTTATTCGGCCTATTTACGGCAATTGTTTAACGGGAGCTCGCGAAGCGGGCGTTTTCTACACGTTAGTTACACGCGTAATTGGAGGCCTGCTCTTTCCCGTCCTGTTCGCGAACAACAAAGGCAACCCCGTTGACAGACGTGCAGGGAAATTGCAGACTTGCGCCTGCAGAGAAGGTGGGCCCGCGATCGCACGAACTTCAAATAGAGTTCCTCTGTCGACTGAAACCTTTAATTATACGCGATCGGCGGAGCAAGTGGATTGCTTCGCGAATGCATTGTTGAGTCTTGATGCGCTATCCGCGCGACTACGTTGATTAAAATATTTTAGCGATCTAAGAGAGCCCTGTGTATGCGTTACATCGAGATCGACATACAAAATCAATTTTTCCGCACTTTAAATCAAATCCTTTTGTCCATTGAGATTTTTAATTATATGCATTGATCTATTTTGGTATAATAAAATTTAAAAAAATATCTTATTATAGATTAATATTATCGCGATATAAAGGAGTGTCACGCGTTTCGCATCGTTAACATTGACTTTTTCGGTATCGACATCGAAAGGGACATTAGAAATTCGTCGCACGTCAAACGAAGTACGGGCCTCGCGGAGAATTTCGAGGTTTCTTGCCGACTCTCGGGTTTAGAATAATCCATATTCTTTTTGTGGGCGTGAACCAGATGTAGAAGAGCACGCAGTCGCGGTGTCGCCAGGTTACCGTAAAACGTGACTGGAAGAATAAGAATTTCGATTCTTCCACAATATCCGAGCCTTCCCGGGGCTAATAAATTCACCGTCTTTTTCATATTCACCGATCGCATTTGTTCTTTGACTTCATTCGTGGTAGAAATCCGACTAGTTTGTAAATTAGAATATTTTTCTTCCGTCTATTAAATCCGTCATCACGAATGCAGCATAAAATTCAACATGATTCTTTCGTCACCGTGTGTGTTTCTTAAAGAAATACTTTGCAATCGGCACACGTATGAAAATGCGAGAGTCTGAATTGAAAAAATTTTAACATGAATGCAATGTCATTGGATTTGAGTAGCTATTACGTTCCAGCCTTGAAAATATAATTACGCGATCGCATGATAAGACAAATAGGAGTTTATTGTGACGGCGATATAAATAAATGGAAAATATAAAATTACGTCGTCGTCCCATCGTTCATTTTATCCTCGAGGGCACTAATGTATGACGGACGGTCGTAAAATACATGACGTACGCGGGACTATAATGGCACAAAATTGGTATTGAGGCATAAAGCATATTACGTAAGACACGGGAGATGATAACTCGCCATTCAATTAATTTCTAGAAAAATAACGCGATCCCGGATATATCGAATAATAACTTTGTACATCTGCTATCTCACAGGTGATATAGAGGACTGTCTGGTAGCTCCAGTTTCTCAAGGTCAGTTCACGCCGCTGCCAGAGGCTCTGTGTTGGGCCATTCTGGAATTGACTTCCCAGAGGCAGGCGGCGACCTTGGACACCCTCAGATCAGCCCTGAGAAACGCCTTCCCGGCCATGCAGAGGCCCAGCCGAGAGCTCGTTTACGACGCGCTAGCCAAGCTCATGCAAGAACGAAAGATCTATCACACGTCTCAGGGCTACTTCGTCGTAACGCCCGAGACCAAGAGGCTTAGACGCGACTCCGGTAGCTCTAGGCGGTGTTCCAGGGACGTGAACGGGTCCAGAGGTCAGGGTAGCATGCTGATGAGCAACGACGAGGCGGTGGCACTCGTACACGGCGAGATGCTTACTCTGCGAGACGGCGATGTTACGCATCAGGCCGTACAGACAAACTTGGCGGACGTTATTTGCGGAGGTAAGACTACTCTCACGTTGATTATTTTCTGAGCCTGACGTCATCTCGAATCGTTCGTTTCTCTCAAGAGACGAAGTTTATAAGCTAACGGTTCGTGTATAATTTACATCGAAATGCGATGACTTTTGAAGCAAATTATTTTAAAACAATTTTTTCTCGCTATTTATTTTAGTTACAAAATGTGAAATCGCGCGAAGCTAGATAAATGTTGCTAAACGAAACAGCTATTAATCATAAGGGGATTTGTAGGCATATGTTATACATGTGCCCCCTATGCGGAAGTTGTCGTACACGGAGTTAATGCCGTGAAAATATCAGCTGTATAACTCGTATGTGAAAGAGAGTGTCGGGTGACGACGCGATTAACGTGCTTTCGTCTTCATTCAATAATAGTCGCGGAGTTCTTTGCGTCTTATTAGAGTGTCGCGTATCTCCCGTTGTCTCCCGCGGTGCGCGCGACTTATCCGCGAGGGAAAGTTTCCCGTTGAATCACCGTCTCACCATATCAATCGCGATCGTTAATTGTAAATTTATAACGCGTTGCCGACCCAATTTAACACTTTAGTAAGATTTCAACGGTTCACATAAACATACGTTAGAGACCAAAATTATGTTTCAGGAAAGTATTAAATTTAGTACGATAAGATGGAGAGAAATTTCTGTTACAGGAATTATTTCTTGTAATATAGTAATAATTTCTTGTAATATATTATAAACAAGAATTTATAAATATTTTGCAGGCCAATAAATAATATAATAATATAAAATATATAGAAGTATATTCGTCTACACTTATAATATCTTGCGCAATTTTTGCGATGACGCGAGTAAAACGTGGGCAAATAAATCGGTGCGGTCGAGACCGAAGTCGAAAGATCGCTTTCGCCGTGTCTCACGTCGAGGATGCACAGGAAGTCGGAGCCCTCGTAAACTCGCGACGAGGAATTCGCTCGCACGGCAGACCGGTCGGTCCAGGCAAACTCGTTCGGCACGTGTTCGGGAAACGTTCCGTTTGTGTCCAGGAGGAGAGCAGTCCACTAGCTGCTCGCTCTCCGAGGCCTTTTTCTCGTCGCGACTCGACGGACGGGTCGGGAGAGCGTTTATGTTGTTGTCGTCCTTGGTAGCCACGCAAGCCCCGCCGCCGGAAGATCGTCAATTCCTCTCTCGCGACCGCGTACGAAAAATCAGCCTGCTATCTTAATTTCGCTTTTTTGCCACGTTCGCGGAAACCCCCGGGAGAATCGCGTTCGTCGTTTCGCATATTATCCACGTTCTTATTCTCGATCTCCGTTTTCAACGATTTGTATCTAAGAAACGATCGCCATCCCGAGCTGATCCGTGATTGCGTAACTAAAAAATCGCGATACAATTGTAATTCTATTAATTGCGACGCGAATCCGGCGAGCTGTTTATGCGGTCTTTTTTTTTTTTTTATTCCCAATAAAAAGCTTTTGCGTTTCGCGATATATATCGCTTCACGGTCGGTTATTATATCAAAACGACGACGCATGCGGAAGTTTCTTGCGGCGATTCGTATATATTCCTTTTTTTATGTGCGTCGAGTGTGTGCGCGCGGAGAATAGAGCCACCAGCATCGGCACGGCACACGGTTTGAGATAGAGAGAGGTAGAGAAACCGACGATGCCTGGAAAGCGTTTAACGCAACCGATATATTAGCTATTGGTCACGACATTGTCTACCGTTACATACGCTGTCGACATCGCGCGGGAAGGGGG